ATAGATATAACTGATGCACACATCTATTTTTCTTAACTAATTTTTAAGTGATCAGTTAAAATAACACAATAGTCAAAGGAGTTTGAAAATACGACAGGCCATTTTTGAGCCAGAAATAAAATTTATATTAATACAACTAGAGACTTGCTGACATAAATAAATATAAGAAAAAGTTAACAAGTTATTCCAATCGATGGTCACAGATTTTATTCTTCATGTATCTTTCTACTACTCTTATTTAGAAAAAGCATTCACTAACTTCCGAATGTTCCTTCCCACTGGTCCCTAAGGCCGTCATCACAACTGTATGCTACTAGCAGAATTTAGAAGAGGGGTCGAATCTCATCACTGAGAAAACTCAGGATTTAAAATATATATATACTATTTATTTAATTTTTTTTCAATCACCAAAGAGAGATGAGAGAGAGGGAAAGCGAGACAGCAAACTGCCAGGTCCAGGACTCAAACCATGGTCAGTCATGTGGGATTCCAACGCCTTAGCCACCACACCACCTGCTAGCCCCACTCTTCAAGTTTTGACAGGAGTATAATTTCCAATGTAAACAAGAAAGTTGCTATATTCATTTTTGAGCACTAATGGTTCCTCCCCCTTTACAGGCACTGCGAGCAGGTATGGCCTGAGGGGAAAAAAAATTTAAACAAAAAATAAAAGTAGCAGCACTTAACACCAAATGAGAATAGACCTGAAGGAGAGGGAGGCATGCAGGAAAAAGTCTCTTTTGGTGGTTTGGGTCAACAGTAGCTGGTAGTAATATCATGTAATAGGGAAGAATGGAGAACGTAGTTTTTCATTAGGATTGTGTGTAGTTTAAGGTTACCTTTTGGATAGCTAGAATACAAAGAAGTATTCAATGCTGAGCTGACTCTATGATCTAAAGGCCAGGGATGAAATCCAAGCTGGAGAAAAATAGGAATGTCAAACCACAGAAGACTGAGTGAGGCAAAGAGACCAGCAGAGTTGGCATGAATGTGGAAGGGGACCAGCTGTTAGTATAATGGCTATGTCACTGAACTCCCATGGGGTCGACTGCAGTTCAAGTCCTGGACCTGGTTGCTTAAACTCACGCCAGGCATGTGTGGGTGTGTGCCCAAGATCCAGAGAGCAGAATAGAGAAGGGATTGCAGTGTGGCTATCCCCCACTAGAGTGTGATTTCTCGCTTTCTGTCTCTCTCTGTCTTTCTGGTGAGCCCATGTGCCCTACAGCAAAAACCTCTCCAAAAAAAAGGGGAACAGGATGGAACACATGGATGAGCTGTTAAGAAATAATAGTTCGAGGGGGGGGAGATGAAGCCATCTGCAAGGTCATGACAGACCCTAACAGAGAAGAATTTCCATTAGAACATGGATAGTATAATGGAAGATTCAACAAGGCAAAGACTAGGAATAATCTTTAGAATAACTTACATAAAACTAGATGGTACAGCCTACTAGAACAACAGAACATTTTACATAGTTTCCATGATGAACAGACATGAGATAAAGTCAGTCACAAGACACAATTATGTTATCCAGAGATGTATGGGGTATGCTTGAAACGTATTAGATTGCTGCTGGTGTAACACAGTACTCTATTTATGGTGACCATCCTCTTCATATGTAGGCATATAGTAAAATAACAAAGTACAGTAAATAATGAAACCAGCAAAACAGTTGTTCGTTACTGTTATCTGTGGGAAGCTGCACACCAGCGAGTCTGCCGAGGTTTCTCAGAGGGCAAACAATTACCATGATTGGTTCCCTTCCAAAAACCTGACCTTCGAAACCTTGCTCTGATTGGCCACTAGAATCCCTCAAATTTGCATATCCGGCACCTCATGATGGTCCAAAAGCAACCAATCATACCCCCCCGTTAACACCCAATCAGGGCCCACCGTTAACAACCAATCAGGGCCCACCGTTTACAACCCACCAGAGTGTATATAACCACGATGCCTGGCCCACAGTAGCCAGACGACGACGACGACGACCAGGAAGACGACAACTGAAGAGCCTGAAGAGCTGAAACACCGTGCAGTCCCCAGACGACCCTGAAGATCCTGAAGAGCTGACACTGCATCGTCTCCAGACGAACTGGGAGACCCTGAAGAGCTGTAACACTACATCGTCTCCGGACGACCCTGAAGAGCTGTGACACCGCGTCGTCTCCGTGCTGCTCACAGTAGACGACGTGACCCTTAAGAGCTGTGAAACTGCGTCGTCTCTGTGCTGTACCGTGCTGCCCACAATAAACAGACGACACTGTCGTCTCCGTGCTGTAACACTATGCTGCTTGCCCCGGCTCTCACTCCTTCACTCAAGAAACCCGTTCAGCTGTCCCCCCGGGTCGGGACACCTGGCGCCCGAACAGGGACGGGACACCTGGCACCCGAACAGGGACGGGACAGTTATCAGGTATTACTTACTATATACGATTATATCTGCTGTATTTTCATATGACTGGAAACACAGTGTGTTTGTTTATACCAGTAGCACCACCACAAACATGTAAATAATGTGTTATTCTACAATGTTCCCAAGGTTATATCATCACTAGGTGAAAGGAACTTTTCATCTCCATTATAATCCTGGAGACCTCTATTGCATTACATAGTACAATGTTGACCTAAACACTGTTATGCAGCAAATCCAACTCTGAACAGCCTGTGATACAACCTGCATATACAGAACTAGCTGAGAGAACTATATGGAGTTACTTAATCCACAGTAAGCACCAGCTAGTGGCATGGAGGTTAAGGTGGGGCTGGACCCTACCTGGCCGATTATGCAGTTTGAGTCCTGTACCCAAGGACTTGAAAAAAATACACCAGGTATATGTGGCTATATGCTCAAGATCTCGACAGGTGAATGGAGGTGGAGGGACTGCAGTGCACAGTGTGGTGATCTCCTGGGGGGGGGGGGATTTTTCACTTTCTTTTTTTCTCTCTCTCCCAGCACCCCTAACCCAGCTTCAAGGAGGGCACATATCTATAGCAAAAAAAATTTTTTTTTAATTTGCAGGACCAGCAATTGGCATAACGGCTATGTTGCTGGACTCCCATGTAGCCGACTGCAGTTTGAGTCTCAGACCTGGTGGCTTAAACTCACGCCAGGCACATGTGTGTGCGTGCCCAAGATCCCAAGAGGAGAACGGAGGGGAAGGGACTGTGGCACAGTCATTCCCCTGGGTATGATTTCTTGCTTTTTGTCTCTCTCTGTCTTTCTGGCGAGTGTATGCGCCCTATAGCAAAAACCTCTCAAAAAAAAGAAAAAAAGAGGGGCTGCAGGAGAAGATGGCGGTCTCCACAGGAGTTAAAGTTCCTCGTAATTTACGCTTGTTGGAAGAACTTGAAGGAGGACAAAAAGGAGTAGGCGATGGTACGGTTAGCTGGGGCCTTGAAGATGATGAAGATATGACACTTACAAGGTGGACAGGCATGATTATTGGGCCACCAAGGACAAATTATGAAAACAGAATATATAGCCTGAAAGTAGAATGTGGACCTAAATACCCAGAAGCTCCTCCATCAGTTAGATTTGTAACAAAAATTAGTATAAATGGAATAAATAATTG